CATTCGCATGAGCAATTACTTGATTTTTAAGGCTAACATAAAATTACAAAAACAGTCTTTCAGTGAATTCTGAATGAAAAATGCAAAAAATAAAAGCCCAACGACACAAGAGAAGTGGGGAAGGTTATCAGTGTCACTGCCTGTTTGGTCAGAAAATGTGTACCTTTGTGAGCTGGTAAACCTTTGGAGTTTGCTACATCTATCACATATTGTTTTTCCGGTTTTCTTGGAAACAGTCAACTTTTAGACTGATGACCTTTAAACAGAAATGATTAAAAGTTTTCTCCTAAAACATTTTCTTTATTGCTGAGAATGAAAACTGTGTATGAAAAATTGATCGGTTTATATTTCATTATTTGTTCAGTTGCAGGTAGCAAATTTGTGCATTTACTGAATAATCAAACAGACAAAAAACATTGAAGTTTTTTTTCCCTCCATGATTTTGTCATCACAATCTATTAGCAAAAAAACTTCTGCAACTTTATTTAGATGTAGCAACACAACTGTATTACATTTCAAATGGGGAGATTAGGTGAAGTTGATTTTTTAAGTGCTTCCAACATAAAAAAACAAGAAAGAGGTTAGGGTTTGGACTTCTGCAATATATATAATGTGGAAGATATAACTAGATTTCCCAGTATTTTTTCTCTCTCCTTGTCTTTTGAGCTTTAAAAGCTGTCATTGTGATGGTAATGGCAAAACAGTAGATTGGCTTGGATCCACAGGGCTACAGAAGAGAAGATAACCATTCCCCATTTCCCCATTGTAATGGTTTTCCACTTTTTCCTTCATCATCCTACTAGAATACCTGTTTTAAGTGTGGTAATTTCCTTTAAGGAAAGTGTAAGCTCCCATTTCCAGCAGGACGTTGTCATTTTTAAGGCAAAGGATATTGGAAAATACCATTATGCATTTTCTGCAATTTGGCAAATGAAACAAAATTTAATCAGAGAATGTGGGTTTTGCACTGTGAAGCTTAAGGGCAGTTTTGCTTGGCATTTCAAATAAGAGTTAAGGGAGTGGTCCCTTGGCCAGTTCTTGAATAGGTACTTCTAGTTTTGTATAAGGATAAATGGATTTTTCCCCTGAAAAACCAAGTCATTTTTGTTTCTGTTCATACCATTTTGAGTGATCTTTGTTATAGTAGACTGGTGAAGTGAAATGAGTATATTTCAATCACTAGGTTTAATTCTGTTGTCTTATTTTGTTGATTTGTTACATGTTATAAAATAGAGTACACCATGTTGATGACTGCATATCTTAGATGGAGCTTGTGCTATTGGTAATCCTTTTTTTTAATAGTAATTTTATTAAAGATTACAAAAGTAAAAACTAGTACAAACTAAAAAAAAGAATAAAAAGAAAAAATAGAAGGTGCAGAAAAGAAACAAAAAATAGAAAGATAAATAGAAAAGAAAGAAAAAATAAGAATATAGTAAAGAAAAAGAGAGAGCCAATTTGGTCTAGTGGTTAAGGCACCAGGCTAGAAAGCAGGAGATTGTGAGTTCTAGTCTCACCTTAGTCATGAAAACTGGCTGGGTGACTTGGGCCAGTCACTTTCTCTCAGCCCAACTCACCTCACAGGGTTGTTGTTGTGGGTAAAACAGGAGGAGGAAGGAGTATTAGGTATGTTCGCTGCCTTTTATATTATATATAAAAATAATAAAGGCAGGATTTTAAAAAATCTAAAAAAAGAAATGAAATATATAATAATTTCCCCCTTTATCACAAGTATAAACAATTTGAGTAACTTATCACCTTCTTTTAAAATACAACAAATGATCTCTTCTTCCCATATCCCATCTCTTATATGTAAACAAATCTATAAAGCCTTGTCATTTCAGTCCTGATGTCAGCAAAAGTCTATTAAGGGTTACCAGAGATAACAATATATATATTTTAACCTTGATCAACTAAATCAACTTTATATTCCTTCCTTTTACTTCTAACAATCTTGATCTTTAGTCCCTTCAAATAACAACGTAGAACTTAATTTCTTTTCATTTTTCCTTTGTCCCTTCTCACAAAATTCTTCAAAGTTTTAAGAAGCCTCTTTTGTAAACCCAATATAGGAAAATTATCCAGGTCACTCTCTTGGTTTATTATTTGTATATCACTTTTAATTATTAAGACATCAGCCAGTTTCTTTTGTATGTCCAGTGTAATATCTTTTTCAGTGTCACTCTTATAGCCTGTCACTTTCAAATCAGTCTCGATCTTTTTCAGATAAACTTGTTCCTCTTCCATAACATCCTTTAAATACAGTTTATCTATAGAGGCAGACACTCTTAAAATTACCTTCTGGGTCCATTGTTCATCCTTTTGCTGTTTATTCCCTCCTCCCACAAAAACTGTTTTTAAGTTCTTAAACTTGTAGTTAAAATTTATTTTGCTAAGGATTGAAGGAAACTCATCCAGTACTATAAAACATGTCAATCCAAAGGTTCCTAATAGCTGAAAAGCAGTTAACAAGCAATTTCCAAAAGTGATTAGAAAAGGACGTATGTGAACGTAGTGTCTGGAGAGGAATTATTGAAGAGCCAGTCTATTCACTGGCTCTTCATTCTGCCATGGTTGTTGGCTCTGCTTTCCACAGAGCTGTTGTTCAGTCTGCCATTTCTTCCCCAGAAATCACTATTGGTAATTCTGATACAGTAACCTAATGGCTTACCAAGCTGCCCATAAAAATGCAATATTAATGTTTGTGTTTAAGTTTTTCAAAAAGAGAGTATTTTGTTCAGCTTGTATGTTTGTGTTCCAAAAATACAAAGCTGAAGAAAATAGTCTCTTCCTTTTTGGTAAGCCATTAAGTTACTCTGTCAGAATTACCAATAGCAACTTCTGGGGGAGAAATGATGTACTGCTTAAAAATGCAAGATTAATGTGTGTGTTTTAAGTTTTTCAAAAAGGAAGAGAATATTTTCTTCAGCTTTGTATTTTCATGTTCCAAAATAATGTGTTTATTAATGCTTCAACTCACTTGCTCAAGTTGCATATATGCAAAACTGTATTTCTGTGACTTCTTAGGACCTTTTCCATGTGATATTTGTGGTCGTCAGTTTAATGACACTGGAAATCTGAAGCGCCATATTGAATGTACTCATGGAGGAAAGAGAAAATGGACTTGCTTTATTTGTGGAAAATCAGTTAGAGAAAGGTAAGCTTAACACACATACTGTGTTTTATATAAATTAAATAATAAGCAGATCCATGAATTCACCAGCATTTAAAAAATATTTTATTGTAAAGGTAATTGAACAAAACAGTTGTATAGTGGAGAGCTCCTGTTCATGCTAATCAGCAGCCATATGCTTTCTCAGGATATTCCATCTCGTTCACTACCCAAGTTTTTCTTTGTTCACCAACCAGCATTCTGTACCTACTGAGCCCATATAAACTCCGCAAATTTTAGGGTTTCTGGTATTTGTTTTTATTCGGATTATATACCTTGTTTATTTTGTATAACTTTGTATAAAATACATAATGCTCCTTACTCCTATTTTCCTCAGAATAACCTTTGAGGTAGGTTGGGCTGAGAAAGAGAGACTGCCCAAAGTTACCCAGCCAGCTTTTGTGCCTAAGGGAGGGCTAGAGTTCAAGGTTTCCCTGTTTCTAATACAGCACCTTAACCACTATACCAAACTGGCTCTCTGTTTTTACAGTTGCAAGAAAAAGTATGTGAACCTTTTGGAATTTCATGGTGTTCTGCATTATTTTTTCATAAAATCTGATCCGAC